GAGATCACTAGAGATTCTCAGGAGGTTCTAGGCTTAGGTGCTAACCAAACTGGATCAACACTGCGGCATTGAGGCAAGGTCTGAAGGCCGGTTATATACTGCAGGTCCTCCTGATGATGAGATGCGCCTCAGGTGTGTTGGAGGCTCAGCTTCAGGAGGATCCACAGGGCACTCTGCTGGAGACGGATGGTACCGCTCCAGATCCCAACACCTAAATCATTTTTAAAACCCTTTGAAATAAGATAATTAGATATAATTCATTATGTTCACGTTTTAATTGTTGTTTTATAGTCATTACACTGTCACAAGTACAGAGCAACGAAATTTACTCTCTGCATTTAACCCATCTCTTCTGGGAGTCGTGGGCTGCCATTGTGCACCCCCGGGGTTAAAGGTCTTACTTAGGGACCCAGAGTGGCAGTCTGTGGGAGTGGGTCTTGAACTCAGAAGCTCTGGATTCCAAGCACAATGACCTAAACACTAGGTCACACTCCCCATAGCAGGCATTACCGTGAAGCCCCTAAGGACCCACACTGGCAGCTCATTCCCCCCAGCTGGGATATGAACCCAGGCTTCCTGTTTGCAGGATGGGCTACTTACCACTTGAGCTAGCCAGTTCTAAACATAAATCATCCTTTTACGTTTGCAAACTGTCTTTATTGTTAAAAACGAGAGAAAAATCCATACTTATTTCAAGAAAAAAATTACTTGCATTTCATTTTTTAGAGTGCATTGCCACGCTGAGCTCTGCAGGACTACATTATGGTCTACATCAACATGTGCAATAATGGCAAAATGTACAACTACAAAAACTATGCAGAAAAATTAACACTGTGAATAACTTAAAACTTTGCAACAATCAGATGATTATTAGTAATTAGTAATTTCCCTCTGGGATTATTAAAATATGTCTGATTCTGATTCTTTGGGTTAAAAAAAAAACAATTCTATGCAATTTGGGAAAGCTACAGGGGCTGCAATGTAAGAGCTTTTGCTGTCAGATGGCAAACAACCAGCCATGCTTCTAAGGCCTCTTTTGGTACCTTTGGCTCTGACAATTATCAGTAACTACATGCTCAAAGGTTGTTCTTACCTTGAGTATTATTAGGTATTTTTAGAATATTTTAGCCCTGAAAAGCAGGCTTTAACATTTTCTGTAAATTCAAGTTTGACAAGAACGACAGACATAATCCATATTCATAATGTTTTCAAGTGTAATGAAGTAACTTAACACCTTAACTAAAACATAACAACAAATGTTTACCATCTGCTGCAGTTTCAGACTAATTTGCAAAAGAAACAATATGTTCTTTCCACTTCAAAAAAAATCTATGAGAGAAACATTAGCCCTCTAGTATAAATAGGTTTGAATATATCTAATTCAAATTTGGGTGCTGGAATAGCTTCAGGATCTAGTTTTCCAAAACTTTGATATAGTGATACTGGCTCTGAAGGCAAAGCATGAGAGATAATAAAGTATTTGCCTATGCTGTTGAATTTTTTCCACCACTGAATTTGCATCCCCCAGACATTAAACCAAACAATTCAGGTAGAAGTACAGTACAGTCAGACAGCTGGGGCTGTGCCGCACGTTTGCACCGATGCTTGCGTCATCCTCAACTTCCTCTTTGTCTGTGGTTTGCTCGAGTTGCTGTTCTGACGTTACTTGCATCCTCATCAGACTTCTGTACATTTATAGAGTCTCGCGCGGGCTTAACCGACAGATGCAGTTGGAGAACTCTTGAGAACAGACTAGCAAGAAAAAAGCTGCACATGTTCAAAGCATTGTTGCAATGCCAAGCCTAGTCACATTGACTCCAAGGGAACCACAGGACCTTAACATGGACATTGACAAGAAGACTGTTGGATACAGGTACATATTTTATTTTAATTTAAAAAAAATTTGACCTTTCTGCTGATCAGCTTAGATTTTACAGCAATGTAACACATTTTCTCTCTTGTGTTCTCCTTCCTTTAGCAGCGGAGGAAACTTAAAGGCTCGGCCTCAGTCTAAATCATCTCAACCAGCCAACACAGAAGAGTAAGTTAAGAAATGTCTCATTTTGAAATCAACATCACTGCTCTCTCCTTTCCTTCATGTTGGTAACAATCATCTTCTCTGCTGCAGGCTCTGTTTTGATGAGATGTCGCAGTGGTCGCAATCACTTGACAGACTTCTATCCTCAAAATGTAAGTTAACCAATAGGTTGAGTTTTCTTTTATTAAGCATCGCTCCTCAACGTTGGCTAATTGCTCCTTATTTTCTGCTTAGATGGGATGAAGATCTTCCAGGCCTTCTTAAAGTCTGAGTTCAGTGATGAAAACCTGGAGTTTTGGGTGGTGTGTGAGGATTATAAGAAGATCAAATCTTCGTTCCGAATGTCCTCCAGAGCCAAAAAGATTTTCAAATGCTATATTCAAGCAGAGGCTCCACGAGAGGTATGCAAAGAGCTTTTTATACCCAAGCAATTTTAAGAATCAGCACTGCCTTCGCATTTCTTTTTTCACCCATTAATGTCATATTTCTTTTAATTCCAGATCAACATTGATCACAAGACGAGGGAGGTGATCAGGACGAACATTAAGGTGCCGTCCTCTGTGTGTTTTGACGACGCCCAGAAGATCGTCTACGGATTAATGGAAAGGGACTCATACCCACGTTTCCTAAAGTCGGACATTTACAGGACTTTGTTGAGCTCAACGTCAGAATCGATGAGGACGTAAAGAAGCTACGCCGTGCTGTAAAGCAGGGTCAAGAACTGGACTGACTGAGAAGTACACCATCTCTGTTTGTTTGATTGGGATCTGAGGTGACGACCATCAGACTAGAGACATTCTGAAGAATTGAGAATTCTGAGATTCTCGTTCCCACTTTAACTCTCCCTGAGATTTTTAGCTTTCTTGTAAGAAAATAAATTATGGGTGTGCTTAGCGAAAATGACTCTGACAACGCAGCTGATGTGAATGGAGCTGGAAAGCAAAAGTCTTCCCAAAGAGGTGATGATTGTGCAATAAAAAAATTCTGGGGACTTTCTACGAGTGACAGCTGAAACTTGACGAAATGAATACAGTCCCTCCCACCAAGAATGAAAGCGTACAGAGGGGATTATCTACAATTGCATTTCCACTTAAGTTTATTGTTATCCCACTAAAGCAATATCTAAGTAGACGCTGTAAGAGATGTGAACTTATGTTGTTTTTTTTATTCTTAAAGTATTGGCTTTACACATGCAAAAAGTTTCCATTCTGACATCATCGCGGACAGACTGAGCTGATATGTTACAACTGTAATGAAATTATATAAGCTATTTGTTTTATAAATACTTGTGATTGTGTAAATATGTACCTTCAAACTGATTTGTGATGTTAAATAAACAAATATGGGACCCAAAAATGGGTGATCTGAATTCTACAGTGATTGAAATCAGCTTCATCAGACAGACCGCCATTAATGAGGTCAAGTGTATGAATCATATCACCCCTAACTACGGAAGCGGCTCAGTCACTTTTTCATTCATTTCTATTTCTCATTCATTCATCTACTTTCTCGTACTTAGAGACTTTACTACCAACAAACTACTTAGGAAATGTTTGAAGACATATACCAGGGTAGATGATAGTGACTAATATATCTGACCCAACAAACATGTCAGTCCATTTTTGTTCTTGCCTTTTCTGAAGAATAGAATTGCCTTTTACTACCAGAATTTAACTTCTATGGCAGTGAAAAACCCAGAGTCCTCACTAAAACTTATCCAAAAGTCTAGACTGACTAATATAGTGACTAAGATATTTCTATAAATTACGGTGAGCATATTTCTGTAATCTAATCTGCGGACATTTCCAGCTCGTAGATGAAAATAAATACATATCATGGAAATTTAAATAGGAAACAGGGACAGTGATGCTTTCATCCATTTTAACATATTTATTAATATTTAAACAACAAAAATCAAGTGTAAAAAAACAGCCAAACAACTTATAACTCGACTTAAAATATCTAACTACCTGATTATATAAACTAAAGGTCACCGATCAGATCTTAATACATATCTAGGCGAACCTTTGTTGGTCCCTGGAGAACAGCAGAGCCAAATTAGTGCCTTATAAGGAGTTTTCAATCATTCTGTTTAATTTTATCTGAGTCTATTTACTCATCCCAGCTGCAGCCAATGGTCTGTCTTACTTTATGTTGATTAGCTTGGTTTATGTTACATTTCCTGTTCAGATAAGCTCTTTTTTTATTAACCTGGGCACAAACCAAAATCATATAATACGCCTATTCTACTCTATATTTTGGGTATGCCGTTTAAAAAATAAAACTACTTTAGCGATTACAACAATGGTTTGAAAACTTTGCCTATGAGCTCATCTAATCCTTTAAAGCCAGAACCTTTAAAAACAATTGTGAATTTATTTTTTTTATTGACCGACACAACCTTTTTTTTAACATTTTGGCTACCAGCTAACCATCAATGATGCTAAAGGTACTATTCAGGGTTCCAAACTCTGAGAAAAAATAAATAAGGGACACTGGCCCAGTCCCAAACTGCGCCCTAAACACTACTCCTAAGCATTAACCCTACGTTTGTGCGTTCCCACGAAAGGTCCGCTATATTCCATCCCAAACCATGTGGTGTGCAGGGCAAGCTGAGCTTCAAATAGAGAGTCTGCTTTAGTTTGAATTTAGCAGTGCATCCAAAAAGTGAACTATTGGCAGAGGAAACAAATGCATTAAAATGTAAGTTCCGTTGGCCTGGTATTTTATTAATTCCAACAATCTCTGATGCATTTTTATTTCACTGTTTAAATGTCTTTTTAATAAAAGGGAAAATCTTTTTTTTATGTCAACCTGCACCACAGATCTACAGCCATTTACGTGGGGCGTCACCGAGTTGCCATTGCAAAGACTGCTTTCCATTTCCAGTGGAGGAAATAGGGTGTCCCATTCTCATTTATACTCCACCAACTTCATTAAAGGCTGCAAGTGTGACTTCATTGGAGTGACACTCGATAGTTAAGGGGTAGTTTATAGGGGGACGATTTTTTAGGATGTTTTGCCGAATTACAGTAGAGTAATTAGGATTGTTGTTGATTGTTTATGTTAGTGTATCATGTCCAAAAAGTTGTTTGGCTAACAGTTGCATAGAAGTTTGTTGTACCCTTTCGTTTGAAGGGTGCTCCTAAAAAAAATCTTCTTTTGAAGGGGTGTATATAGCCCTACCAAAAAACTTAAAAAACGAGAAGAGGTTGAAGAGGTTTCAGTTCCCATCCAGGAAGCTTTTTCAATTCAAAATGTCAGGAGTGTCAATGACTATGACCTGGATGACTGAGAATCCTCACCAGTTACCCCTTCCCCTCAGTCCTAACAGGTATTGGGACACCACTACCCCTACACATGAATGTGTAAAATGAAGTTCAACCCTACTGACGTTGTGAATTTATTTTTACCTTTTATTATGTAACATCATTGATTAGACACCACATTTTGTTCCTTAAATTGGGACAGTTCCTTTTCTAAGGGATAGTTAGCAGCCCTATTGCTATCTGCTGGTGAAGATTCTCAGTCATCCAGGTCATAGTCTTTCTGTCAGGTCTAAGCACCTAAAACATCATACATACATGCAGGGTAAGAAAGAAAGCACAGAGACAATTAATTTAGTTTTACTCGCGAGGAGAGCAAGAAGGAACTGCAGAGTTTACGAATCCCCACCTCACTCTGCAGTCCCAGCGTTCTGCTCACTATTTATTAGAAATCAGGGGTCCCTTGTTACAACAGCTGAGACTGCTCTAGAGATCAGAAACAACATGAAAAACTTGCAGTCTCAGTAAACATCCTATAAGTTTCAGGGTTCAGTCAAAGTTTAAGCTGTTGAAGCTGTTCACCAAAGTTCAGCAGGTTGAGTGCTGCCCGTAAATCAACCACAACCTCCCCAAAAACAAGTTCACAAATCACAGTATACTTCAGAAAAGGTGGATGTGAAAACATGCACATAGCACACAGCTTTATGCATGATAACAATACACAGATACATTTATATACAATTATTCTAATACTTTCCAAAAAAGGTAAAAAAAAAAACAATCCACTGGACTTTGGTTCCAAGTTTGAAGATGTTTCGCTTCCCATCCAGGAAGCTTTTTCAATTCAAATTGTCAGAAATATTGTTGAATGGGTGAATGAATGAATGTTTGGTGAAGTCTCCTGACTTTAAAAAGCTCTATACTAAAGTACAGGTCATATTGCATTAACCAACTACTACTTTTGGAAGTTTATTTTTGGTGCATGACTCCTTTCACTATTTCTAAATAGTTTGTAGTATGTGGCTTCTACAGCCATACAGTTAAAGGTGCTTGTTTATGTGATAAAAGACATACAAAAATATGTGGATGGGCTG